TTTTTTTTTTTTTTTTTTTTTTTTTGGTTGAAAAAATGGCCATGAAGACCATGAGCCCCTCACCATTAGACTGTCTTTTATCTATTTTTCTTGCCTTTTTTTTCTCCTTTTCCTCTGTTTTTTGTTCTATATTTTTTATACTCCTTATTTTTATAAATTTATTATTATTCCTTTTTCTAGCTAGATGGCTTTATTATTAATAGTTTAATACATTTCTGATACTTTCATTATTAAACATTATACTTTTCTGGCACAAAAGCAATGCCACATATTTATTTAAAAATGTAAAAACAATTAACACATTTAGCCAACTTATAGTAATAATGTGTTTCTTCTTGTTGTTGATATTATATGATTTTTTTTTTTTTATTGTATTTTACTCCTCTTATTGCATTCTTGATCCTAGAGCATCTGTAGCAGTAAAACTTATGGAATTTGATCATTATATTTATTTATTTATTATATTATATTAATCTTTATTCCATATCATTTTTTGACCACTTTATAATAAGAAACACCATAATTAATAAGAGTGGGTAAACTTTTGCCCCATTACTTTTGCTTTTGGAACATATGCCAAACTTTCTGCATCCATATCTCAATTAGAATGGAGGCTCCCACAGCTTTATATGGATAGGTAACAATTGAATTATCCCATCTCTATTTTCTTCACCTTATTATATACAGTAAACTTGCAAGAACGAAAGAATTAGTAACTCTTCAACACAACACAAGAGATTCAGATTCGAGACGAGTTTTCCCATAATGAGAATCAGTAAATCTTCAACTATTTGTAACTATTTTTTTCTTTAAAAAGTGCACTACTAAATACAATATGATTTGACAAAGAAAATAAAAAAAGCGTATCGAAAGTCTTCATCCGTGTTGCAGATACAGAAGAAAACAGATAATCAGAAAGTTTTTCTACCGGTTCACCACCACTGATGAACAAGAACTCCACTCTTCCTTAAAGACTCGAACAAATCGAGACACTGCCCATATGTTTTCTGGTACTTGTTCGATCTCTCTCCCGGACAGCATTTTTGCCACCTGTTATAATGACATTCAAGAAAAACCTCATCAATCAAACAGATAGCGCCAGTTTCAAATAACCTTGGAATCAAATCAAATTCAGTCCCTTCCACATCCATCTTCATCACCACATAGTCCCTCTCGGAAAATGTATTTTTCAGCCAGCCAGCAAAGTCAAAGCCTTGAATCTCATCAATATTATCTGAGGATTTCGAGCCACCAGAGGTTTGAACAGGCTGAATACGACCCATTCCTCTGCCTTTTTCAACTTCCTTGTGGCCCGGGTCCTCATTTATCTCAAAAAACAAAGACTCGTTTTTTACCCAAGCAGCATAGGGTAATAAAGTAACTCCCTTTTTGTTCTTATAGTCCGGGTAGAAGGTTTTATCAGCCTCAATTGCAAATATCTCGAAAGTCTTGTTCTGTTTAGGGTATCGTTTTTTGAACCAACTCACAATACTCGAGCCGTAGCTTCGTGCTCCCACATCGACGTAAATGTATCGAGACTTAAAACTAATGTCAACCATTGAAGGCAAGTACTTTATCTTCTGAGCATTCTTCTTAAGTGTGATCCAAGGCTTTTTCGGCTCTTCCTCGATCAAAGGCTCCGATTTCTTTATCAGCTCCTGTTTATAACTCGGAACATTGCATTTATTAGCAGAGTTACTACTAGAATTTTCAGTAACTTGTTTTATATCGTCTTCCCCAGTGAACTTTTGCAGGACAACTTCCCGAACGAACGGCTTTTCGGAATTCAATCCATCAATATACCTACTTTGTACCAATCTACAGAAATTGAAGAAACCGAGTAACGATTCGAAACTATATGTGTCGTTAGAGATAGTATGAACGACCAGAAACCCTTCGGGCTTTAGTGTCCTCTCAACCTCAGCCACGAAACCAACCGGCCTTGCCGAGTTCTCCACCACTCCAACTCCACAGAACATGAAATCGAACGAGTTACTGCTAAACGGCTGCTTGAAGCCCTGCCCCGGTAAAACCAGAGGCTTAAAACCCTTCTTGGAGATGCCGATGGAGTCCTCCACGCCGATCTCCCTCAGGGCGAACACATCGGCTCCGGTCTCTGTGTCCACGCACAGGGTCTTGAAGCTCGGGCTCAGAACAGCGTCGGATATCAGATCCTGAAACACAGACGAGTAGAACTGAACGGATTTCTGAAATTTCTTTGTCGTCCACAGATCGGGGATCTTCTTCGGCGCGGCCGGGGCGGAGTTGTCGGACGAGGATACGGCCACCGCCGAGGAGGGTTTCGCCAGCTGACCCACGCCGGGGACGACGTTGTCAGGCAGGGCGGCGAAGAAGCAGAAATCGCCGACGTCGCACGATTCCCCCCGAATTGTGACAACGTACGCGAATCTGAGGGCGATTATCAGCACGCAGAAGAGGAAGAGGCGCACAAGGATATTCCGCAGGAAGCTCGGCTTTCCACTACCGGGCTCCATTAACGGGGTGAAAAAGAAAACAAACTATCAAAGGTATGAACAAAATCAAAAGAATTAAAGAATGGATTTTTTTTATTTTTTTTTCCAATGGATAATCTATAACAGTATATCTAACCCTAAAACAGCAAAAATGTAAGGGAACAAATCGAAGGGGGAAAATCGGGCCGAATTGTACAGTTATCGGGAGCAAAAACGGGCCGAGGTGTGATTAGCTCCGACGAGAGAGCTGGCGGGGAGAGGGTAGGAGATGGGTAAATTGGAGGCGGAGAGAGGGGTAAAACGGGAAATCATGCTTATATATTGGGCAGCGAAAGCGAAACTCACTCTCTATGAGCTGTCGAAAATCCTATTCATAGTATATATCAGTGTTTAATGGCAGTAAATGGTTTTGCTCAGCTCGAATACTAATGTGTGTGTGTGTGTGTGTGTGTGTGTGTGTGAGTGAGAGAGAGAGAGTTAAGGTCTGAGCTTTTTTGAGGTTGAAGTTAGTGAAAAAAGGAAAAAGAGGAAACGCGGAGAAGACGATGACACGGGGTGGGCTACCGGGAGAGGCGGTTGCCTGTGAAGGTAATGGGTAATGATCACATGTGGCGGCATATGCGCTGCGGTGCGGCCTACCTGGCCCTAATACTTAGGTACAGTGTTAATAGTAACTTGTTTCATAATTTTCCAATTAAATTAAATTATTGCCCTAAATTTATTGGGAGACAATTAGACATCCATTATGATTATGCTTCTTTTGATGGCGTGGATATGGGTTTTATTGTAATTTTAGCCACACTAAACGCATTATTCTCCTTTAGTACAGGAGTACATAAGTCAAATTTGAATACAATTTGCTTTTAGACTCCTTTAGTTTATTCAATGAAGTAGTATAAATTTACTATGGTATGGGAGATATTAATAATTACTTGAGAATTTGTAACTGTTAGATCATCATATAATCGTCGGGATAGTTGATTTAACAGTTACAAATCCGCCGCAATGGTTCCGTAACGGGACTGTAGTATTTTCCTAAAAATTTTGTTTATTTAAAGCTCGTTTGTTTAATATTCAAAAACAAAAATTTTGTACGATTATTTTTATTGGCTATTCATGATTCGCGTCCAACTCGTTAAAACTTGAGTTCGACTTATTAATATTAATAAAAATAGTCGAGCTCGAGTTCGTTTAGTTATTGAGTTGTTCTTGACTAGGCAAAATAACACCATTAGTCATTTAGTAAATACAGATTTTTAATTAAAAGATGCAAATGCAAATTATATACATTAGGCACCTCCAATGAGATTTTTTTTTTAATAAATAATAGTAGTAGAGATTTATTTGGGAATGAGGCATATCCACATTTATTAATTCCATATGTAACAATCCTTTTAACGATTTTTTTTTTTTTTTTTT